TGTCAGCCATTGATCTTCGAAAAAAAACGGACAGTCCAGATTCACTTATACAAATCTAGACATGACATATTTTATGTTTCCATTTGGGCCATTGGATGTCTATCAGCTCTCCCCCAAACCGATGGCTCAGATTCTACCACAGATACTCCCATCTCACCTTCCATCTTCATCGTTCTTCTCTTTTCACCTACGTTCTTTCACTCTCGATTTTCACCTCCCCTATTTTCACCCTGTTTTACAATCAGCCAGGTACATCCACGTTTTTATAGTGATTACCAGTCCTAAGTAATTGTTATTAGCTCTAATTGTTACCGAGATTATCATTTTTACACTTGCAGGTTAATCCAATGTCTGACCACTGTATGGTCATCGCCGGTCAGTGGGTCAGCTCTTCAGATAACCACTAGAACTTCTCTGTAGATAAAGAGAACATGACAAGGATTGTACCAATTTGCCAGGGGATACTGTTGACTGAGTTGCTGAGTAGTGTGTTTAGGGAGTTCTTTGGTTCTGATGACACCCTTCGTACCGGTGTACTTAGCTACTGGCTACCCAACTCGAAGGAGCTTGCCACCGGCCTAACCACACCCCCAGTAATCCTTACAAGCGACAGTGCTGTCTCCTACTTCTAACAGCATTTTCAAGCAAACAAAGGAATCAACTTGTTTGTCACCTTCAGTGCCCCTCAGACTACCCGAGTTAGTGAGAGCCTATTGCCTTTCACGACTCCCAACCAACCTATCATAACGAAACTCACTCCTTTCTCTTCCTCCTCAACCGCTGGTTCTCACATTCTAGGTTTCAACCTTTTCAGTGATGATGAACTTCAAAGTTCGGATGTTCAGCATCAGAGTTGTCCACCTGTACAACATCCTTCCGTTGGTGCTTACACCCACAAAGTCATATACATGTACAACCCGGGGTTGTTTTACCTGTACAGCCTCAAAGTTGTCCACCTGTACAACGTAAGAGAGGTCCCCTTGTACAAACTCAAAGTTGCCCACCAGTCCAGCTTCCAAACCCCCCCTCACAGATTCCAGCCTTCCCTTTGAACACCAACGATGATCTGGATCATCAATTTGCAGATGCTGGTAGCTCTGATCCATCAAAAACCCCACGGTTATCGCTTATTGACGAGACCCTCCTATGCGATGATGAGCTACTTGAAGAACTGTTCAAAGAAGATCCTCGCAACATACCTGATACCTGGGTCTCTGATGACGATGACGCTAGTGAGTCTGATGCTTCTCTTCCTGCTGATATTGATGAAGTTAAACCCCGTGGCTACGACCGAGACTTCTGGGCTCCACTCATTGATGACCCAGTTGGTGGTTCTGACGCTGCTGAAATTATGGCAGGCATATCAGTACCAAAGACTGCGCCCCATATTATCCGGTGCACCACTGGAAATGCGTTTGACCATACTGTACTAGTCCCTGGGGAACTCCCACCCTACTGCAAACCTGAAGTCCCTCCATCTTCAACCTATGTCCAACCTCCCCATGACCCACCTGTACATAATCGCAGCTGCCCACCCAAACACTCCTCTTCAGCGTCAATTGGCAATCACTGTTCTTCAACGTCAACAAGTTCTGGCCGTACTGCCTACACTGAAAATCACCCGCCTCACCCCCCACACACACCATCTGCCCATGAAACCAGACCCCTCTCGGAGATCAGTGATGAGGAGTTTGATGTTCCACCCCTCTTTGACGACACCACATATCAATCTGAAGCTGTTCCAGACTTGGATATATACGAGGATGAACCGTACGTTGGCAAAATGTATGTCTCAAAGGAAGACTGTCAAATAAGCCTCGCCATCTATGCTATAAAAGAACAGTTTTATTTCCGGCAAACCTGGACCAGCAGACACTCATTTGTTCTCAGCTGTCATGATGTTCGTTGTCCATGGAGGATTCTCGCTAAGGAGCTTACCACATGTGGTTACTCCACTCTAAAAAAGTGTCAGTTGGACCACACCTGTGATACTGACACTCGGAAGCTGTATAGAAGGCGTGCTACTTCCAAGGTTTTAGCACACATATATCGGTCAAAGTACAACGAGACAATTGATGCCCCCAAAGCAATGCAGCTTCAGCAACTCATCCTTGAAGATTTACGGGTTGGTGCTTCGTATATGAAATTCCATCGAACCAAAGGCATTGCTATAGACATCACTCATGGTAATGCGGAGGACTCTTACCTCAATGTAGCTGGTTATTTCGAGCGCCTAAAAGCTACTAATCCGGGCACAGTCACTGCTATTGAAACCGAATTAGACACTGAAGGCAACACTAGGTTTTTGTACGGGTTCCTTGCCTTTGGTGCTTCTACCATAGGTTTCCGCCGCTTGAGGCTTGTTCTTATTATAGATGGTACTCACCTCTCGGACAAATACAAAGGCGTACTCTTAACTGCAAGTGGTCAAGACGCCAACTTCCAAGTCTTCCCTCTTACTTTTGGTGTGGTTGATGGGGATACAGAAGAGGCCTGGACCTGGTTTCTAACAAAGGTTGAAAGGATTATTGCAGATTCAGGAGCATTCAGCATCATATCTGATCGACATGTCTCCCTCATTAAAGCCAAAAATCAGGTTTTCTCCAAGGCACATCACGGAGCATGTATTGTTCACATAATGAGGAATGTTGTGTCCCGGTACAAAAACAGAGGACTTGCTAAGATGGTCTGCGAGGCTGCATTCTCTTTTCAGAGGAAGGATTTTGATAAACACTTCGACAAAATCAAAATGGCAAATGCAGCCTGCCACAAATACCTAGAAGACATAGGGACTGCTAAATGGTCTCGCACCTACTTCCCTGGTAACCGCTACAATCTTCTCACTAGCAACGTTGCAGACCAGTTAAACAATGCCATCTCCAAATCCCGAGCTTCCCCAATTGTCGAAATGTTCATGTTCATTCAGCGCATGCTAACCAGGTGGTTCTCAGCAAGGAGGACTAAATCATTGAAACACAGAGGTCTTGTCACACCTGAGGTTGATAAGGTCATTCAGACACATATCAAACTGACAAAAAGAAGCAAGATATCTCAATCCAAAGAATGGAGCTATTCAGTGCAGGGTCTTTTTGGTCACGGGAACACTGTACACCTAGATACCAAGGTTTGTTCTTGTCAAGTCTTCCAAAAACTTAAAATTCCTTGTGGCCATGCTCTATTTGTAGCTGACTCTGCTGGTCTCCCCTACAACCAATTGGTTGGTGATTGCTACAAGACACAGTCCTGGATAGAAACCTACACTGGCTATATTCTCCCAGAAGCCCCCTTTGGCGACCACCAAATCTCAAAAGCCATTTCAGATCTTAATATCCACCCTCCTCAAACCCGTCGCCCCTCTGGTCGACCTCAGGAAAAAAGAAAACTATCCACCGGAGAGATTCAGGTACCTATGTACACCCTCTTAAAATAACCAGCGCTTGTTATCCAAGAGGATACTCACATTTTTATTCTTTATGTTTCCTCGGGTTCCAAAGAAGACCAAACAAGTTCCCAACAAATGTGGCCGCTGCGGTGGGACCGGTCATAACTGTACTCGCTGTGTACGCCCAATCTGAAATTGGTGAATCTTATATCCAGAGCTCCCACCTTTTGGATAGCAAATTCATCCCGGATCAGTGCTTTTGTTCTTTTTTGTAAGCTTTTTGGTGTAACATGTCTTAAACAACTGTGAACATGTCTAAACTAATCCTTCTTCTAAACAGCAAGCCTTCTGTTAATTTTGTTTTTTCAAGTTTAAACTCATTCATTGTTTGTACACATGTACAACGTAACGACTGTACTACAGACATGATGCTGTACAACCACTAAAAATACTCTACTACAGTTACCTCTTTTATTAACTGAGCTGGGCCCCCACTCTCGTCTACTCCACTGTTTACCAACTCCCATACAACGTCGTTTTGGAATATGTCCCCAACCCCTTTAAAGTTGAAAAAAACACGATACCTAATCCACAATTAGGGTTCATCTTCCTTCTCTTTTTTCCAAAAAAAAATCGCCTCCTCATTATGGTAGACACAGGCCGCGGAATCCCGGCCCACTGTACCTGCGGTTCCCGGGTCTCACGAAATACATCTCGCACCAAAAACAACCCGGGAAGGCTATTTCACAGCTGCCCCTTTGGCAACGAGGTTTTCCATGCTTGTCCTAAAATCAACAATTTTACTCCTCAAAATTATCTTTAACTTAATTGTATTTCTAATGTCTTATCTGTAGCACAATCGGTCCCATGTTTTCAAATGGACAGATGAATCGATGGTTGAAGAGATAGAGGATATAAAACCAAGAATTCAGGACCTTGAATCAGCTATTGCAGAAAATGGCAAGCGCTTAAGCAACTCCACCAGTCTAATACAATCTATTACACTAGAAAGCCGCACCTCCTCCACACTCGTTCATCGGTTAGAAGCTAAGCTCTCTGCATTTGAACAGGACATCCAAGGTCTCAAGATGGAATTAAAAGGCTTCAGAAACATGGTCATATGTTTGATTGTCCTCTTCCTTTGCTACAAGGTCTTGCTCTAGTTTGGGTCTTAAACATAATGTTCTGACCTATGTTCTCTGACCTCCACTTGTCTACTTCTATGTATTTTACATTTCTTAACCCCCTTGTATTGTACTTTTCTTACCCACCTTGTATTGTCCTAGGATTCCCATACTAATCTATGTACTCGTATTAACCAGTACACATGTTATGTTCTGGCGGTGTACATCTAACAACACTTTCTTAACACTGTACATCTGTACACCTAACTGCCCTCGTACTCATCTGTCCTTACAATTTCAAAAAACTATGTGTACATGTGTACTCTTAGCCAGTGGAGACACACACAAATTAAACATCAAAAGTACTGATCCGTTCCACTTAATAGTCATCCAGTACAAACTGTTTCAATACATTAGATAGGCAGTTACAAATCTTACAAAACAAAATACTAACCCCTTAAGTTAAACAAAAAACAGAAATTAAACATTCATATCTAGTTCATCGCCCCCATGTACAAGGGAACTATCCACTCCTTGTACACATCAATGGCAAACCGCTTACGGAAATAGTCAACCAACTCGTCTGTCAGGTCCTCAATCTCCGACTCCTCAACCTCAGTTGCCGCCAGCTCCATAAATTACATAGCAACTGGTCCGCAGTCCCCACTACGGGTGTTTTGATATCCATCCGCCATCAGATGGATCCCAAATGGTTCTAGCCCATGGCCCGTCAAATGCTCTGGGGGAAAACCTTGCGCACTAAGTAAGGTAGCATCTTACCTATAGGACCCATTATACGAATCACAGCATCAAATGGTCTAAGGCTTCTATCTGGATCATACACAAGAACACTCCAGTCCACTATGCTTATCCGCAGTCCAACCCAGTGGTTCGTCCCCCAAAACATTGGTGCGTAAACAGTGTCAACATCCACACCAAGCTTCTTCCCTTTAGCAGTCAAAAAAACTCGCAAGCTTTGGGCCAGAGAAGACTCTACCCTTGTAGGTTGCAGCATTAAAGGCCCTCGCTTTGCTAGCTAGGCGGTCCATAAACCATGGTGCGACAAACATAGCCCTCCTCTCCGCCAATAAATCATGATGCCTCTGACTAATAAAGTCTACCAAAACCTCAATATGCTGCCACGTAAACAAAAAAAGGGGTCAGCTTCGAAATGACCGATCAGCCATTCCCATTCTCTATAAAAAAAAAAACCAATACAAGTCAATTACCTTGCTCGACACCCACTTCTGTGGAGTTGCCAGATCTAGGAAAAACTCATTATCCAAATCATATTTACCAGCTCCTAAATGCAATCTGCAACAAATCAAACTCATCCATTTATAAGAAATATTCCATACCAAAAACAATTTTAAAATTACCACACTCACACTTTTGGATTTGACATCAGCACTTGCTCAAAAAAAACAAAGTCCGGGTCCTCCATCGCCGGAACGATCTCTGTCAGTTTAAACGGTGCCTTCGCCAACAATAGAGCAGCCAGATTCCCTTCTGACTCTTCTAGCTTATGCTTCTCACTACGTTCACATGATGACGAGTCGCTCAGACATGTAACTCTCTCATTCGCACCCAACTCAGCGTCGAAAACCTACCAACCCAAACAAGTCATCATTCAATCCACATTAATCAAAGTTTTAAAACACAAAAAACAACATACCTGCGCCCCCTCATCGTGCGCATCCTCTTCACCACGTTCTGCAATCACAGCAACGCCTCCCTCTGATACAGCAACACTTTCACACTGAAAGTCCTTATCTACAACTTGATCCCCCACTTGCGACTATACCCGGTGGAAAAAAAAATTTCAGTACTAACCACTAAGGGGTACATATGTACACTCAATACAGGGGTACATATGTACACTCAATACACTTTGTACAAGCGTACACTAAATGCATTTCACCGTACACAGGTACACTATACCTTGTTGCATCCCCCAACATGTGCTTCCTTCTCTCCATCTGCAAATGATTCACCAAATTCCTTCACTATCGCCCCTATCAACTTGTCTAGTCCACCAACATCCTTAACCACCAAAAAAAATTAGAAACAACTACATTGAAAACCATCAAACAAGAACCAAAAAAAAAAAAAATACCTCCCCACTAAATTTTTGGGCCACATTACCACTCTCAGAAACCTCTCCCACAGAGACTTTCGAACATCCCTGCAAAACACAAACATCCACTAAATAACACCTCAGACAGACCAAACATTGATCAAACAACAACTAACCTCATCAGTTATAACTAAAGCACCACCAGAGTTATTATGACCTGTCGAACCCTGACCTAAAAAAAGGACTTGTTAATATGGAACTTAAAAAGATATAGACAAACACTTACAAAACTAATATTTTCACGTACCTCCTCATCTGTTACGTAGAATGAGTTACTGGTCGTAGCCCGGTAAAGTGTAGCACCACGATAACCTTTCATTCCTTCACCAACCCACTGTCTAGGAACCCCATCACCTTCCTTAAGTGGCATGACCACGTCAGAAAGCCCGGAGGACTCACTACAATCACCCTCTTCCTCCACAGCATCATCATCTACTCTATCAGACGACTCACTACACTCCGCCTCTTCCTCTTCCTCAGAGAACTCACAGCTATCCGCCTCTTCAACCACCGAATCCTCATCCTCTGGCTCAGATAACCCACTGCCATCCACCTCTTCCTCCACAGCATTCTCTTCCTCCACAGCATCTTCATTTGGAGGAGACGTACTATCAACCGCCCCAGAAGACTCACTGTCCTTCGACTCTCCTTCCACATCAGCCTCATCAACATCACCAGGCTCTGTCCCTAATCCATCGTCACCCTGATTTGCTGACCTAGTTTCAACTGCCCCAGCTGACTCACTTTCCTCCGCCTCGGCTTCTAAATATTTCTCATCCATAGGCTCAACCTCTATTGGCATATCATCCATAGGCACTTCATCTCGACTACTCTCATCTTTCACGCTTCGGGCCTGTGCCCCTAAATCTTCTACTACCAAATCAGGAGCACTCCCCTCGCCAACATCAAATGCAGGACTTCCACCTATGAAACCTTCTGCACGACGGCTATCATCATCCTACCTTGTGTGGTCCCCACTAAAGTCATGACTTTTTCCAAATTTTTTCTTCTTCCCATGTAATCTGAGAAAAACATCCTTCCTAGGGGTGAACCCTGACCTCTTCCTCCTACGAATTTTCTTCGTTAGTATCTCTACCAATTTCTCTAGCCGCTCTACTCGATCAGTAAGTTCCTTGATCCTATCATCATCCTCCAAACGAGGTTTCTTGAAATAAGTACTCAGCCTCTTCTGTTTCATTACGGGTTGTCCACCAATTATCCTCTTCCCATTTTCAACCCCCCTCTTTCTTTTTTTGGCTGCCTCCTGACTTCTGAGATACTCAACATGGTTATACAAAACCTCCTTAGCATCACCTCCACCCCAATCTGACTTCTTGAATGTATGTCCGGTTTCAATAAGACCAATCATGTACTTCACTTTCATGTCTTCTATCTCATCATCCCACACCCCCCACCCTTCAGGTTTGTCATCACCCACCTCCATCTCTGACTGCACCTTTAACTGCGCACATGGCAAACAAAAAAAATACATTAATCAACAGAAATGTACAACAAAGCATCATTAACTAAATTCAAAATGGTCGTACAAATGTACACCATACCAACACGAAAACAACTTGTATCTATGTACAAACCTAGAACAAAAACCTCCAGCGTACAGCTGTACGCCACACAATGTTTAAATACATTAAAAACATAAATGTACAACAAAGCATCATTAACTAAAAACTTTACCTCTGGGTGGTATTCAGCCGCTAAAACGTCAACAAGGTTGAGGCCGGTGTGCTGGGGAAGCCTTTTGCAGTCTATAAGCTTGAGCTCATCATCACCGCCAAGCCTAGCCACCAGTTGGGGAACCGACTGGTACAACAAAACCTGTAGAGCCAATGGGAATCCTGACATTTTCTTGGTCTTCTGCCTAAGCTTCATGCAAAACTCTCCTACATGATTATCACATTTGCCAGTGATTCTTTTCCCATGAATCATGGTTCTAATTGTCCAATAAAAGGACTCCCTGCCCCACTGGAACTCCAAGAACTTCTTCACGCTTTCAACTAGCTTTACATGCTTCACCAGAGGACGAGGTGGCTGAGAAGACGCAATTAAGACACCATCAACAATTATGACCAAACACAACTTCAGCTTCCTTGATCGTGAAAGACTTTGGTCCTCAACCACCATCTTTACTACTTCTGGGATTGTTATGTACATTTTACCATCGAACAACTTATCCTAGTAAACATAATCCTCCTCTTTATACGTTGGCTGGAAATCAGGTACATACCCATCCTCAAACTCACCGCACGGAAGCCCAGTGACGTTCCCAAATTCCACCAGAGAAAAACGGAGTGGTTCCCCTCCAAACACTGGCCAAGCTTCATTTTTTTTCTTCGTAACCACCTGCCTCGCCAACATCGCGTGGATCATCACTGAAGAATAACTACACCTGCGAACCGGGAGGTCAAACAACCCTCCAAAACATGAACTCAGTAACTTATCCATCTCATGAGACCCTTTCAAAACATCCCTAACCACCAAAAGGTACTCGACTCTGGAAAAGGCGTTAAGACGCCTGCTTGGATATCTGTCTGTCGCAAAAAGCCTCAACGGTAACCTCTCATCTGGGCCATCTGCTAGGTCTAAATCCTCTGCAAAGTAACAAAACAGAGAAACTTAATAACCGTTACAAACAAAAATGTCAAATAGTCAACTTCGACAATAATTTCTCTACAAGATACAAACTACTCGGACTAATACCGATGATGTTCTAGAGGAAACAGATTATCGGATTGTCCCAATCCACCAACAAATAAAAGGAAAGTAAAATGTCTAGAATCTCACCAGATACTTGTTGTTTTCCATCGCGCCTCCGCGTTGTCGTCATCGAAAGTCCCCCTCCGGTTAGAGATCTCGTTCGCCGTCGCTTTCTACTTCGTCGTCGTCTTTGGCTTCACCGTTGCAATCTCCTAGATTAGGGAAAACAGAACGTCGGAGGAGAATATAGAAATAAATGAGATGGAACCAACAAATTAAAAACCAAAAAATTTGAATTTCAAAAAAACAAAAAAAACTAACGAGACACAATAACTAAACAAACCTTGGTTTTGGGTTTCAAGGCCACTCTAGACTTTTAACAAAAATAAAGTGTCTAAGGAGCCCAAACTGACCCATTGTATTACACAAACACAAAATGTGACCCAGCTTGTAAATCACTCTATATTCTAACACATGTAATCATCATGTTTTCTCTTTTTGGCAATCATCATGTCTTATATTAAGTCATTCACCTAACTGGCTAAAGAGCGTTGTATTCGATATCATGATATCACCAATGTCAATTTTTTTTTTTTTTGACAACGAAAGGTTGATCTATTACTCAAGCTTGAGTTGGTCTGGGAATCCAGACCGGAATAGAACAACCAACATAAATGAGCTCCCTATAAAAGGATCGAGCAGTCTTAGCTAAATGATCAGACACAGCATTTAGAGATCTAGGAATATAAGTGATCTTGAAATTTGTGAAACAAATCCTCAGCGCCGATATCCTCTCTAGTTCCGTCGAAAAGCTTGGCCATTCCCGGGGATTCGTGAGCATTGCTAACAATTCCTTGCAGTCCGTCCCAAAGCTCTGACATGGCGAATGTTGAAGCATGTTCTCCATTGCCCACCGCAGTGCTTCCAGCTCCGAATGCAAAGGAGACTCCACCCTACTCACATTACGCATCCCCATCAACTGGCTATTCCCCATGCTATCCTTCCAATCCCATCCACATCCGGAGAAATGATCTGTAGAGGTCCAAGAACCGTCTATCATGCAAATATCTCGTAGGCTTATGGCCTGACGTTCTGTATCGCCGTTCTCGAGAGAACTCACAACTTCCTGTTCATTTGCTCGAAACCAGGCAAGACACTCACTCTCAGCATACCGGGCCAGTTCAAGGGGGTCTCTATCTATTCCTTTAAACAACTTATCATTTCGAGCCTTCCAAATGTACCATATTAGCCAAGGATAAGGATCCTTTTCTAATTCTGGTCCACCAATAGGCTTCTTCCGCCAGAATAAATAATCCATATTTGAATACATACTTTCCAAAGGGAACAAAGTTGAACTGGTGGGTATAGATGCCAAGGCCCACACCTGTAAAGCCGGTGGACATCAGAAAATTGCATGTGCAATCGTCTCATCCTGTTCTCCACATCGTGGGCAGAAGTTATCACATCTGATATGTCTATGATTCAGTGCACTCGTAACCGCCACCTGTCCCGATATAATCTGCCACATAAGATGGCACATCTTCGGGGGTGCTTTGACCTTCCAGACCTGTGCTTGAAGCCTTTTAATGCTAGGTTCATCAACCATAATCTCTTCCTCTTTTATTAATATATTCCGAGCTACCCAATAGCCAGATTTAACTGTGTATCGCCCACTCCTTGTGTAACTCCAGCAATATGTGTCTCTGCGGTGTGTTGAACTAATCGCCATGCTCCTTATGAGAGGTATATCAGCAGCGTCAACATAGTTTGTCAACCGATCTAGATCCCAAGACTTTGTTTCCTGATTAATAAGATCGCTCACTCTCATGTTTGGATGCAGAACCGGCACAGATGCAAGAGCTGGTCTTGCTGGGATTGTGGGAATCCATGGGTCCTCCCATACCTTTACCTCATGACCGGAATGAACCTTCTGTCTGATCCCCAATAGCAATAATTCACGTGCAACTGAGATGCTTGTCCACACATATGATGGGCTACTGTCAGCGATTTTTCACAAAGGCGAACTTAGTCGATAGTACTGCCCTCTCATAACTCGTGCTACCAAGGAATCTGGATTTTGGGCTAATCTCCACAACTGCTTTGCTAGTAATGCCAGGTTAAACTCATGAATCATTCTAAATCCAATGCCTCCTTCCTCTTTAGATAAACATAACTTATCCCATGTCGTCCAGTGTAAGCCTTTCTTTGGTGGGTTTGAGCTCCACCAAAACTGTGCAATGGCACTAGCCAAGGCATCGCATATCTCTAGTGGGAGCAAAAAGCAAGACATAACATAGGTTGGGAGAGCTAGCAGGATTGACTTTATCATTACTTCCTTTCCACATCTAGATAACCATCTGCCTGTCCATCCATTCACTCTATTTCGAAGCTTGTCTTTTAAGAAGGCAAACATCTTACATTTCGATCCACTGATATCCTCTGGTATCCCTAGGTAAGTTCCCATCCCCGCTTCACTTTGAATCCCCAGTGTATCTTTGATCTCCTGCCTGGCGTCTTGACCGATCCTCTTACCAAAGAGTACAGAAGACTTATCAAAATTAATGCATTGTCCAGAGGCTTGTCCATATTTCCTAACCACTTTCATTACTTCTTCACATTCACGGGGATCCGCCTTACAAAAGAAAAGGCTATCATCAGCAAAGAGTAGGTGGGATATCGATGGACGCGCACGCGTGATGCGCATCCCCGTTATCTTTCCCTGATTCTCTGCGTAATTAAGAAGGCTAACGAGCGCTTCCGTGCATAGAATAAAAATGAAAGGGGATAAAGGATCTCCCTGATGTAGACCTCTCTCCGGGACAATATTCCCTCTTGGCTGACCGTTCATAAGCACCTTGTACTTTACTGATGTCACACATCGCATAATCCATGTGATCCAGACTTCTGAGAATCCCATCTTCCTCATGGTGGCTTCAATGAAAGACCATTCCATCCTATCATATGCCTTACTCATCTCTGTTTTAATTGCCATCTTCTTATTGCGTCCACTCGGTTTTGTTCTCAACGCATGAAACAATTCCTGGGCAATCATTATGTTATCTGATATCTGTCTCCCAGCAACAAAGGCTGACTGGGTTTCTGATATCCTACTAGAGAGGACTTTTTTTAGTCTTTGGCATAAGACCTTAGAAATAATCTTGTAACAAACATTACAAAGACTAATGGGTCGGAGCTGACTCATCTGATTTGGTTTATCAACTTTTGGGATAAGGCAAATATTAGTGTCATTTATACCAACCGGTATAGTCCCTTGAAAAAGGAATTGATTAACCATAAGAGTTAAATCATCCTTCACAATATCCCAGAAGTTTTGATAAAACAATGCTGTCATTCCATCAGATCCTGGGGTTTTCTCTGGGTGCATAGCAAAAAGAGCTAATTTTACTTCCCATTCGGAAACCGGTGCTGTTAGGCCCTCATTATCTGCAGGCGTAATTGTGGTGGTAACTTCTGAAAGGGCATCCTCTATCTCCTCAGGGTTTGATGATTGGAAAATTTGTCGAAAATAGCTAGTAGCAATGGTTACCAAGCCATCCTCATCTTCCACAACATTCCCATCAGCATCCAAAAGTTGGGTTATCCTGTTCTTCGCTCTTTGCTGCTTCGTAAGGGCGTGGAAAAATTTGGTGTTTCGATCTCCCTCCCTTAACCAGAAAATCCTACATTTTTGCTTCCAGAACAATTCCTCCGCCTTAAGGGCATCAGACAATTCTTTTAACGCCGTAGCGATCTCCTCTGTAGTAGCATCATCATTGGAAGATAAACTATCCACCTTCTTCTTTAGCTCCTCTACACTCTTCTCTGAATTCAGATTATGCTGTCTCTTCCACTCACATAATGCTCGTCTGCAGCATGCAATATGATCCATTATGCTCGCATCCGGAGGTAGGTCTGGTGATTTCCAGCCCTTCAAGTATAATCTGTCTAAGTTCCCAATTCTGAAGCCAGCGCTTATCAAATTTGAAGTTTTTTGATCGTCGTGGCTTCTTTTTAAGAATATCTGCTAGGATTGGACGATGATCCGAACCCCAAAGCTTCAGATATTTCACTTTTGTATGAGGAAACTTCTCAAGCCAGGTCTCATTACCCACAGCCCTATCAAGACGACATCTAACAGTAGCATTCCCCGCCCGTCTTCCTACCCAAGAAAGCATATTCCCTGTAAAAGGGAACTCCAACATACCACAGTCACTGAGCATCTGTTTAAAAGGCAGGAAGGAGCTATCAGTGTCGTTGTCTGCCCGCTTCCTTCTCTTCGTGACAAGTTATCTCATTAAAATCACCAATCATGAACCAAGGTCCATTTCGCGTTGTTGAGAAACGCGTAAGACGATCCCAAACTATATCTCTTCGTTCTACTACAGGGTCCCAATAAACAAATGTCATGTAGACTTTTATTCCATCAATGACTGCCTCAATGTCAATCATTCTGTTATTAGAAAATAAAATCTTAACTTGAAAATCATCCATAAAAAATAAAGCTAAACCTCCGCTGAGACCAAGTGGCTCAACGGTAAACAAACGATCAAATCCTAAGTCAGCCTGAATGTCTTGCAACAGCAGCCTCCTGCTCTTTGTTTCAGAAAGGAACACTAGTCCTGGGCGATGCTTCTGACACATCTCCGCAAGGCGTCGAACTGTGAGGTCAGTCCCAATTCCTCGACAGTTCCAACTGAGTGTCTTCATGGATGAACGTGGGATGGGTTTTTGGACCCCATCGAACCATTGCCTTTGCGTGACTTGTACCGATCCATCCGAGCTTTAAAAGTGGAACTCCTTGTGGTGTCCCTATCGCCATTATGCTTGTGGGCTGCAGAGCTTAGGACTCTTAGCCTAGGCGATCCCCGGCGTAAAAATTCTTTTTTCTTGGGAGTTTTCCTGACGCCACTCCTTGATCCCTTGACGCTTCTTAAGTTTGAAACAGTCTCCTTTTGTCGTGGATTGTGTCTTACCATGGGTGGATCCAAATCCATGAGCTCCTCATCAAATAAATCATCCTCCTCCTCCAAATCTTCCTCATCTTTGTTTACTGGGACCTCTATATCTGTCAAAGCAGCAATGACTCCTGAATCCTCAATCTCAGGCTCAGGACGATCCATGGTATACGTC